TATATATATATATATATATATATTCACGGATACTGCAGAAACGAGCAAGCCCGGGATAGGGCAGTGTCTCGGTGTTGGATTTATTTATTAAATTATTTTATTAAAATAAATTTTACTTTCAGGTGTATATTGTATCTTGCGTTTATTATTTTATTGTAGATAGTGCTGCAGTGTATCTGCTGTCTCTTCCGCTGTGCTGCAGGCTGCATGCAGCTGTTTAATTAGAGAAGTCTTTCAACGCTCCCCTTATTTAAGACTCTCAGTGCTGTTATCTTCTGCTGCTGCTGCTGCTGCTGCTGCTGCTACCTCCTGTCATCTGCTGTTGCTGCTATCTCCGCCTGCTGCTCCCTGCTATGGCTGTTGCTATTGCTGCTGCTGGGCATTTGGAGGCTTTCTTAGAGATAGGAGACAGAGCATGGATGTTAATGTGCATAAAGGAGACCCTTAGTCTCCTTGCTGCAGAAAGAGACACCTTTTGTTGCTGCTGCAGCACTTTGCTGCTGCTACCAGACCGGCTGGGGCATAGGCATTGGGCGGAAGGAGCAGCAAGCCCGCTCTAACGAAGCTAGAAGAACGAGAGCTGCATATACACCTCAAAATGAAACAATTAATTATTTAAATAAACAAACAAGCAATGAAGAGACGCAGAAAGAAGCTAACAACCACAGGGGGAGAGGAGGTCTATGGGCCGGCAGCAGCAGCAGCAGCAAGAGAAGCAGCAATAAGCCTCTGTAATATGCACTGAATGATAAGTTATTATTTCTTTTTATAAATTAATAAAAAAGAAAAGAGATTGTTTGCGTTGAACTCTGCATATTCAGTAGCAGCAGCAGCAGCTGGGATCGTACGATCCCCTGTGCATGCGCCTCACCCACGTCGAGTGCTGCAGCAGCAGCAGCATCGAGGCGCTGCTGCTGCCCTACTTTCTCTGGTTTTGTTTGTTTCTATCCCTAACAAAAGGAGATATTAAGGTGAAATATACTTATTGCTGCTCTCCTACAGCGCAGCAGGTGAGGAGCAGCAGCAAGTGCAGCAGACGCTGCCCAGCTACAGCTGGTGGCTGTTGCTGCAACACGCCGCAGCGGCAGCAACAGCAGCAGCGGCACCAGTCATAACAACAGCAACAGTAACAGCAGCAACAACAGCAGCAGCAGCACTTCGACTGCTGCTGCTTGCACATTGGGGAGCCCCATGGGTCCGAGGGCGCTGCTGCAGCAAGCCACCGCAAGCAGCAAGGCAGCAACAAAGCTAATCAGCAGCCGACAGGATCGGGCAGGCGGATCCCAGGTCGTTCCCGCTAGGTTGCTGCTGCTCTCTTGCTGCTGCTGCTTGCAACTGCAGCAGCAGCAGCAGCAGCGGCAGGGCACGCGGGCCCTGAGGAGCTATCTAGCTTCCTTTTGCTGCACAGACGGCGATAGCCACCCCCGAGCAGCTATAACAGCAGCCTGCTGCAGCTAGCTGTAGCAACAGCAGCAGCATAATGCTGCAGAGGAGGAGATTGCTTTGCTTGGGGGGTCTCCTGAGCCTTACCGGAGTAGTAGTATGGTGTATGCTTGACTCTGCAGCGCTCGCAAACCCTGTTGTTGCCTTTGTAGATTCTGCTGCTGCTGCTGCTCCTGTTGTTGCCCCCGATCCCACTCCCGACCCCACTCCCGATCCCATTCCCGATCCCGATCCCGATCCCGATCCCCAGCGCAACCCCCCCGAGCGGCCAAGAACAGCAGCATCAAGCGGGGTTTCTAAGCCTGTAGGAACACGTAGAGGGAGACGCCTGAGAGATATTTGGCTGACTCAGGTAGGAATAGTATTCGGCAGAGTCAGAGACGGCGTTTGGCGAAGGCAGCGGCAGCCGCAGCCGCAGCAGCAGCAGCAGCAGCAGCAGCAGCAGCAGCAGCAGAAACCCCAGGAGCAGCAGGACGAGCAAGTAGGGGAGGAGGAGCAGCAGCAGCATCAGGAAGAGGAGGAGCAGCAGGAGGAGGAGGAGGAGGAGGAGGAGGAGGAGCTGCAGGAGGAGCAGCAGGAAGAGGAGGAGGAGCAGCAGCAGCAGCAGCAGGGGGAGGAGCAACAGGAGCAGCAGCAGGATCCGCAGCAAGAGCAGCAGAACAACGGCCCGCTGCAGGACCTGCAGCACTACGTGCTGCAGCACAGATTCTCCTCATGGCTTCGTAGGCTGCCCTTTTCTAAGCCGAAGAATATACAGCCAAGACCATTCAAACTAGCAGCAATTGCTGCTGTTCTGCTGCTGCTCCTCGCTCTATTCAGGGGTTCCTCTGAGCAATCGCAGCAGGAAAAGAAGCTGCGCGGCAAGCACAATCAGGAGCAGCAACAGCAGGAGCAACAATACGAGCAGGAGCAGCAAGACGAGCAACAAGACGAGCAGCAAGACGAGCACCAAGACGAGCAGCAAGACGAGCAGCAGCAGGAGCAACAAGACGAGCAGCAGCAGGAGCAACAAGACGAGCAGCAGCAGGAGCAGCAAGACGAGCAGCAGCAGGAGCAGCAAGACGAGCAGCAAGACGAGCAGCAGCAGGAGCAGCAGCAGGAGCAGCAAGACGAGCAGCAGCAGGAGCAGCAGCAGCCAGGTACAGAGCCCCAGCCTACTGATGCAGCAGCTGCGAAAGAAGACGCAAAGCAGGAGCGGGGGCCCACTGAAGAAGCAGAAGCAGCGTCAGGAGCAGCAACAGAAGCAGGAACAGCAACAACAGCCCTTGAACGCGAGAAGCAGGAAGATGAAGAAGCGGCAGCAGCAGCAGCAGCAGCGGCTGCTGCTGCTGCTGCTGAAGAGCAGGAAGCATACGCGGATCTGGACTCTCCGGAGGTACGCGAAGCAGCAGCAGAAGCAGCAAAGCTGAAGACAGAAGCAGCAGCAGCAAACACAAAAGCTCTTAGAGCTAAAAGGCGGAGCTTCGAAGCAGCAGCAGTTTCTCTGGTGGACGAAGCCTATGCGACCTTAGCAGCAGACGAAGCGGAAGCAGCAGCAGCAGCAGCAGCACAAGCAGAGGCAGCAATAGCAGAAGCAAATGAGTGGGCCGCAGCAGAAGCGCAGAGAGCTAGCGAAGCAGCTAAATTCGCCAGTCAAGCAAGGAGCACTGCAGCAGCATCAAAAGCAGCAGCAGCAGCAGAGGTAGCAGCAGCTAGTGCAGCAGCAGCTGAAGCAAAAGAAGCAGAAGCCGCCGCAGAAGCAGCAAAAGATTCACGCAGTGCAGCAGAAGAAGCAGAAGCAGCGAAGAAGAGAGCACGGGTGTGTATAACAGCAGCGCGTGTAGCAGCACAAGACGCAGTGGCCGACGGGGAGAGGGCAGCGAATGCAGAAGCAGAAGCTGCAGCAGCAGCAGCAGCAGCAGCGCAAGCAGCGCAAGATGCAGACGCAGCGGTAGCAAACGCAGCAACAGCAGCAGAAGCTGCTGTTGCTGCAGCAGCCAAGGTTGAGAGGTTGCAGGCTGCTGCTGCTGCTTCCTCTTTGGTTAGTACGCAGAAGAGCGAACAAGCAGCAGAGGCGATGGCAGCAGCAGCAGCAGCAGAAGCTGCAGCAGCTGCAGCAGCAAAGAAGCTGGATGCAGCACGGCGAGCTGCGGAGCTAAAGCTGTTCTCATACGGTTTGCCTGGTTATCTCTATGATCAATTAAGAGAGAAGGGAGAGACAGTTGCTGCTGCACAGCGGCTTCTAGCTCTCTTAGATTGGGAGACAGGCAATAATATAAAGAATCAGCTGAAGGATGCTATGAGTAAAGCGTTTGAGTTAAAGAGAGCTGGGCAGACAGCTGAGAGTGCAGCAGCAGCAGAAGAAAGTTTTGCTCTGCTGCAGCAGCATCTAGAAGATGTTGAGAAGCTTGTTACTTCTTTGATATCGCAAGCAGCAGCAGCAGCAGAAGAAGGCCTTGCTGCTGTGCCGGAGACTGTTGATCCTGGGCCCTGGGTTAGCGATATGGAGACACTAGAAGAAGCTAACGACTATAACCATTCTGTCTCTGTTACTCTAATCTCTTTGCATGAAGAACATGAAGCAGTGCTAGATAGAGCAAGGAGAACCCTAGACAGCTTGAAGAGAATCGTCTCCTTGGACGCAGTTAACAGCGAAACTGTCTCTATTGCAGCAGATCTCGGTGCATCTCTGATGGAAGCAGCGCAGCAGCTACATGAGGGTGTATCTACAATGCAGCAGCTGCAGCAAGACTTAGCAGATTCTTCGCGTTCTCCTTATACATCTGCTCGGAGCGACAGAGGTAGATGGCTAGACAGCCAGTTTGAATTAGTTGGGGGTACAATGAAAGCTATGCTTATCAAGATGAAGAGAAGAGGAGAAGAAGATACAGCAGCAAAGTTAGCAGACCTGCAACGGATATTACAAGAAGCAGACTCTTTAACTGCTGTACATGGGAAGCTACAAGAGCGCCTGGAGGAGTGCAGTACACCTGAGGAGATGTTAGAGATAAACAATGAAGCTGCAGGTATTGAGAGTTTATTAGACGAGCTATTAAATACTCTTATAGCAAATGCAGAGGCATTACCCCCGGTGCAGCAGCTTGCACACTTCGGAGATATACCTACACAAAGAGTCTTATTAGAAGCCCTCCGAGATGTTAAAGAAAGCTTCAGCGATGATAAATTTGATATAGAGAAAGGTATGGTGTACGTATGCAGTTCTTTAGGCGAAACATTTCCTGCGTTAGATCTGCCTGAAGATGAATGGACCCACAGGGTGTCTAGGCAGGTTGTACAAGAGTTAAGGCTAGAGATGGAGGAGATAGATGCTTATGCTAGTTCTCTTGAGCGTAGCTTTAATAGTCGTACAGCCCGTCTTGAGATGCTTTCACTTCTAGGGAGGGGTACCCCAGCAGAGTCATTGATAGCAGCAAAGCATGAAGCAGAAGAAGCATTAGAAGATGTTATCGAACTTGGTGCAACAGCAGCAGATACGTGGCAGCTTGGTGCGGACTACGATCATCTTGCTGCAATAGAGAAGCACCTGCAGCAAGCAGTAGATACATATTCTACTATCCCTTCGTCTTTGCTGCTACAAGAGACGCCTGAGGCCGAGCATGCACAGCAGTTGCTTACTACATGCTTACGAGCAGTAATAGCAGCAGGTAAAGTTTCTGAAGCACCCCAGGTAGCTGAGGCTGCTGCTGTTGCACGCCGCAGCTCTAATGAACTTAAAGATTATCTGCTCTACTTAGCAGACGGAAGGATTGGACAAATGCAGCAACATGAGGAGACAGAGGATGATGTTCAGACAGACATTGAAGATGTCTTTGCCCCCCCAGAGCAGTTTAATCTCAGGGAATGAAGCAAAATACTCTCTCCTCTTTGCAGCAGCAGCAGTAGCAGCAGCAGCAGCAGCAGCAACAACAGCAGCAGCAGCAGCAGCAGTGCCAGGGAGAGGGAGGTGACACAGGATCCAGGGGGAAGTTGAAGGGAGACGTGAAGACGAAGGATGTGTCTCCTTTCTTTTGTTTGCTGCTTGTGTTGCTGCTTTGTCTCTTCTTCTTTTGGGTCTTCTTCTTTCTCAAAGTCTCGCTAACAGTGCTGTTGTCTGCACTGTGCAGTTGCTGCTGCATTTGTGGGGTGTCTCTTTCTATCTGCCTTAGAGACTATCTCCTTGTTTGAGGCTATTGATAGCATTGTCTCTTTATTAAGAGACAGGGAGAGGTGAGGAGCTGTATTTGCATGCACTCTATAGAAGAACAGACAGAGAGAGAGAAGAGGGCCGTGTATATATCTCCTAAAGGAGACACTTTAAAGGAGACACAATTAAATGAAGCAGGTAGCCAGTCCGTTGGGGCTGCATGCATGTGCATGCACCTGTTTCTTTGTTTGGAGATTCCTTGGGGCTTTTTAAGAAGCCGCCGCAGTTTGCTGCGCGACTTTTTTGTCTGGGGAGCTGCAGCAGCTGCTGCTGCAGCTAAACCACCATCAGCAGCAGGTGCAGCAGCAGCAGCAGGCGCTGATGCTGCTATTTCCCCGGTTTGCTTCGCCTCTTGTGGAGCGCTTATGCGTTGCTCAAGGAGAGGAGGAGACAGTTGAAGGAGACAGACGGTGAGCAGCAAGAAAAGAGATAGGGTTTCTTCTCTCTTTCTTTGGCTGTCTGTACACCCGAGACTTTGATGTCTCTCTTTTAGGCCCTTGCGCCTCTCTCCTATTTGTATGTTCCTTTGCTTTGGGGGCCTCTTTAGGAGGCAGCAGGCAGCAGCACCCGCAGCAGCAGCAGCAGCAGCAGCAGCAGCTAGTGCTGCTGCTGCTGCGGCAGGTACCAAGGCTGCACGAACCGTAGTGGGAGAGCTGCAGTCTCTGATGAGCGCAGCCTCTTCTTTTAATTATTCTCTGTGTTGTTGTTTGTTTATTGTTTGTCTTTTAAATGAAGCCTTCTCCTTTGCTGTCTCTTTGCTGCAATGCATTCTTCTCGTTTGCTGCTGCTGCAGCAGCAGCAGGGGGCCCAAACCCTACCCCGCAGCAGCACACGGTCTCCTCCTATGGAGACACGCAGCAGCAAAGGAGACACCCGAGGAGTCAGCAGACTTACAGCTGCCTATCTCGCATTCTCGAGCTGCCAACAACTCCAGCTAGCTATAGCTACACACAGCTAGCTATAGCCATCCTCAGCTAGCTATAGCTACACACAGCTAGCTATAGCCA